ACGATCGAAAAGCTTAAGGTTTTAGTGTAGCAGTTGTGAATTTCAATTGGAAATGCCCCAGAGAGTAAGCAACTTGTCATCTTCTCCATTATCTTTGAGTTCAATGCATGCTCTCTAAAGCCTGTTCACCAAAAATATCAAACTTTCAATTACCGTTCCTTTTTTTTTTTTTTTGAAATCAACATCGAATGAAAAATGAGCAACTAAGTCGCTGCAAATCACAACATGATGAAGAAAATGTATAGTAGTCATCTACTTTTGAGAGAGAAAATTACGGTTAGTTTGGAAGGTCACTATATTTGCTATTTGTGATGATGGAACATTGATGATATAGCAACACATTATCCATCACATTTCTCTTTCTCTCCATCCCTCTCTCTCATAAAAATTGAACTGTCCAATCCCGTTATTTCACAAAAACTGGCATATCACCGATATTTCATTATTATAATGATAAATAAAATTATTTTTCAAAATCCCCTTGTAGAAAATATCTAATGTACAGTAAGAAAGAGAGAGTGAGTGTATTTGAGAAATCTAAGAGTGTCAATTTGGCTTGTCGTCTCGGGAAGCCTGTGGCTCAGCTCAGCTCAACTCGGCTCGTGAAGCGGAGACTCGGGCTAAGCCTCAATTTAGGACACTGGCCGAAGTTAGCTACTTGTTTTAAAAAGCAACACAGCTGCTCGTTTCAGGTGTTTCAGGCAGCACACTAACTGCCTTTTAAAATAAGCAATACAGCAGCTACCTGAAATAGGCAGCTGTAGCTACCTTTAGTACAGGCAACTACAGTTGCGTTAAAAAAGAATCGAGCCGACTTGACCCAATGAAGTTCAAGCTAAACCTAAATTTTTCGATCGAGCTTTTGCTCAGCTTAACTTAGGCAAAAAAAGGTCGAGTCATTTTTTACTCGAGCCACGAGTTTTAGCTCGCGAGTCGGCTAGACTCGTTTACATGCCTAGAGAAATATGATGAAGAAAATATTTGGCCTAACCAACAGTACAACCCGACCCAAAGTGGGAAACATTGGTGAAATATCCATACTGCCCTTTTTTCATACATGGCCTCTAAATGAACAGTCAAATTAAGGGTAAGATGAGAAATAAATGCTTCCTGAATGAATAGTGCATCCATGATTGCCTCTTTTAAGATATTGTGGGGAAATAAGTAATTTTTTAGAATAAAATGCTTTTTATTAATCAAAATTAAAAACACATAGCTACAAGTTCCTTTTTAGAAAAATAACCATTACTTGAAATAAGAAAAGTTTAGAGCATGTAGGGTGAGAATACATGCAGCTAGGGCTGGGCCCATAAACCCGAAACCGCGAATCCGACCCAACCCGATTCGGGTCCGGTCGGGTCAATTTTAGAGGAAATTACACCCTCACATGTTTTTAAACTTTCATTTTCATAAATCCAAAAACAATTTTAATAATACATAAATTAGGTTTTATTTAATGATTTTTAAATTAATTTCTATTTAAATCAATCATATACCATTTCAAACCCTAATTCTCTCATTTTCTCTCCCATTTCTCTCTCCTACCATCCGTTCTCTCCCCTCTCTCCCAATTCCCGCCGCCACCACCCGCCGGCGCACCACATCGCCGGCACCTAAGCCGACGATCGATAGGTGCACCACCTCTCCTGCCATCCGTTCTTCCCCGTCTCACCCATCCTCCATTGTCGTTCTTTCCCGTCACCGTCTCTCCTCCCTGTCAAACCTCGAAGCGGCGACGATGCGCCGTCTCATCTCTTCTCCTCCCGTTCTCTCCTCCCCTTCTCTGTGAAGCCACCGCAAGTGGTGGAGGGGTGTTTGTGGGTGCAGATCTTTTTTTTTTTTTTT